AATTCAGCCCCTCAAATTCTTAAGCAGTGAGTTCTTAACCGATACATACTGTTGAGAATGCAGGCACCGTCCGGTTGCGCTCTGCTCTTCGTGGTGCTGCTCGACGTAAGCTGCTTGGGGAAGTGGAGGACGGGAGAGTACGATGCCTTGAGCTTGTGAAATCGCATTGTTGGCGGAGTCGTGCATGTGCCGGATGGCTGCTGCTGCTGTGCCTGGCTGTGCCCCGTGTTAATGCTGCAAGATTTCCAGCCCTGAAACTTGCCAAAACTTTACACATCACCGTGAGGTCTGTCCTCACCTCACCCAGTGCGAGGATCGATCGAACCTGACGCGTGCACAAAGCCCATGGGGTCGGGTTTCTCAGAGGGGGGCAGAGAGCAGGGCAGCTTAAGGCGCCACGATCCGAAATCTGATGATGAACGATTGCCGATGTTTCCGCAATGGCTCCTGTTCCCATGTTTACCTTGAGTCTTTGGCGGTCCGTCACGTGATAAAAGCTCAGGCACACGGAGTGTGGAAGGTCACAAACTCAATACTCCAGGCCTGACGCTCGGAAGCCAGATCAGCAAGATGACATGCCTAAATGGACGCAAATCCTGGCAAAGCAATGAAGCAAAGGCGTGTAACTAGCGGACAACGACTCCAACTGTCGCGTTTCGGCAGCAGTCCTGCAGAGGTCGGAGCCCTCAAGGCCGACGGAAGAGCTGCGGTGGCGCTCTTAGGAAATCCGTTGCCGTCTTGCGGTTTCTGGCGATTGCAATGTGCAGTTCGTGGCATTCCGTGGAAGCGTGCAGACACGCCCTGTTGCTCTGTGCTTTCGGCCTTTCGCCGAGGCTCACCGCCGACCTCTTTGGGCCCGACGCCTGAGCGGCGACGAGCTCATGAGGCAACGATTCGACATTAGAAGTGCCGCGAACCAGGTGAATGCACACTACCGCTTCGCTTTGTGTTTGCCTGGGTTTAAGAGGCCTCAGAAGGGCGCTTCGTGGGAGTCTTCCCTCTGTTGACATCGCACTGGCTGCAAAGACACAAGCGGACAGAAGGGCTACTAGCCAATCGCACTTCGGCAGGCAAGATGTGAAACAGCCCGTACAGAAAAAGGAGACGACAAGAGACACATAGTGCGTCAGAGCAAGATGGATGAGCATGATGAGCTCCTCCGCTCCGGGCGGCGCTTGCTCCGATTTCTGGATGCGATGCTCAGCAGAAACGTCTGCTCACGGTGAGCTCTTTCCTTCGGTGCGACATGAGCGTCGGGTTACAGGAATGCAATATCTTGAGGAACAATGACGGCCTCCTGTCGGTGGAGGAGTGCCAGCACCTCAAGGACTTTTCTGAAATTTGCAGCCCTTTGCATCTTGTGAACACTTTTTCCAGTGCTGCTGCATGACTGCTGCACTCTGCCGAGGGTTATCATTGTCGTGAGGGTTATCATTGTCGTGCGATTGCTGCCGCAGGAGGATACATGGCTCTTTCCGAGTGAGGATGCATTCCTCGCGGTTCTTGATCCCTACGATAGACTCCTGGCTGTTCAGTCCCTCCCCACATGCCTGGCTGACAGAATCCATGCCACAGTTTCTTGAGGATTCCTGCTGCAGCGTGTGTCCGAGGTGAGTTTCTGGATGCGGACGCCTTATGGCAGCTCCTCTCCGACAGGCGTTTCTACCAAAGCATGGCCTCAAGAAGCAAACGCTTTCCAGAGATTGCTTCATTACTATCAAGTTGCAGCACGGCGGTAGGCTGGAGGCGGATCCAGCTCAAGGGGAGGCCCGGTGGGGGTACTCGAAGAGAAAGAGAGATGGTGATATTCCTTTGACCTCGAGGAGTGGCTGAAAGGCCAACTCCCCTCCGTGAAGCGACTCTACTCGTCCGGCCCTCAATGAGACACTCCCATAGCCGTAGTTTTTGAAATAACTTCATGCTTCGGCTTCCTGTCGACGAGCAAGCTTGGTCCCTGTAATTACTTGAGGACTCTAACAGCTCATGATACATTTTCGCAAATAAGCTGCGGCACGCATGCCGAGCCAAACAGAGCGGGCTTTGGAGTGCTAAGGAATCCGCAGACGCGGATGTGCATGGGGCACTCATGAAGCTGTTTCCAACTGAATACAAAAAGCCAGTTCTGCAGGATGCGCAGGTCGCAGACGAAGCTCATGGACAGTCCGAAGAGTGCTCGAGGCGTTCGTGCGCGTGTGTGCGTGTGGGGGTCGGGGCGGAGAAGGATTCAAGCTGCCAGGAAGCCCAAGCCCTATGCGGAGCCCTTTGTCTTCGCGGAGTGCTTCGCGAAGCGCGTCACGGAACGGTTTCAAGCCCGCCTCGCTGGACGTAGCTTGGGAGGACCTGGGCCTTGCTCAGAATGCGGGGGGCGGTTTAGACTTCGTTAGATTCAAGACTGTGTCTACTGCGTGTCACGGGCAGGAGTTCTGCCGAGAGTCTCGCCTGCAAGCAGAAGATTTCTTCTCAACGTCCAGGCGAGATCTCGAACCCCGTATCAAAACGAGAGAACTTCAAAGACAGCAGGTGCCATGACAATCCAATTATTCTTCCAGTTGCGAATGTGCTCATGCATGCAAGGCTCTCCAGGTGGCAGATATCCACGCAGCTTTCTCAAAGCTCTGCTCCCTTCTACCAACTGACATGCCTGAAAGTCTCAAGCTCAACTTGGGTGGGGCAGAACGATGCTCAGATCACACGTTCAGGCACTCCTTCACTGAGGCACCAGTGGCACGTCCGTTGTCCTGTACGAGAAGCTCATGGCCAGGTAGCGATGGCAGGGCATGCTGGGCATTCAAGAATGTGGCCCAAAGTACACTAAATACACCTGAAAGTGGCGAAGTCGCAACTCTGTCCTTCAAGACGTGAAGCAAAGCCTGCCTCCTTGCAGAATGCCCTCGGTGTCCATTCCGCGTTTCGAGCGACAGAAGGATTCAGGCAGGAGTGACGGGTCGGTTTGGCTTCTTCCGACCTCACAGGAAGAGTGCTTCTCAAGCTGACAGCATTCGCTTTCGTGCCTTCCGAGTACATAGCGGAGGAACGATCGTCCCCTCTGGCGGTACATGCAGCACCAGAGTTGCTTTGGCGCCAGGTGGCTATCCACTCCAAGATGCACACTTGGGTGTTGTCGGTGCCGTGGCCTTTTGCAGGTAGTTACGGCGGTGCTCTTTGTCGACAATTTCGGACCTGCAACGCGGTGTTAAGATTGTTATGTCTGAGCGGTCTTCTCGAGACTTAGGGCGTCTGCATGTCGTGGCGCTGCTCTTCAACTGAGCTCTGCCGAGGTGCCGGACCAATCGGGTTGAGGGCGGCTTTGGAACTGGCACTGCTTGGCGCAAAGGCACCCGAAGAGCTGCCCCGATTTTTTCGGAATGCATGTGAATGCCCTCGGTACACAGCTCAAGGTTCAGGTCTTTGACGTTCGGGATGGTTTCTACCGCCCGCTTCCCAGCTTGCCATGTCGTCGTGGGTAGCTCCCCAAAGCTCAAGCGCATTATCTAGGCATGGGGAGGGCAAACAAAAGACGACCATTCTCAATGGCAAGGTATGAATATCTTGAAGCTATGGGACTGGGCTGCAGCCGATCTTCTGGACTTGGGAGCAAAGCACTTGCTCCCCAACTTTTTGACATACATCGCGCCTTGGACAAAGCAGACATTGCATGGCCGAGATTCCCAATCTTTGGCTTCGATCTCCCCCGAGGACCACATCGGGATCCGCGAGCTGCAGTCGCTGCTGCTGAAGCTGGGCCTGCTTGCGGGAGTCCGCTACAACTGGAGTGCCAGCTTCAAGGACACCGACAAGCCACGAGAGCTCAAAGGGCTGAGCAGCGAAGCCCTGTTGGGTCGCTGTCTTCAAGCTTTGCCCCCCTCCGCCCGCACGGTTGTGTTGTCCTTCTGCGCTTCATGTTCCAGGACGTGTGCGCGCCTGGCCCCCAAGCCAAGTGACCAAGCTAGCAGCGCTAGCAGCTAGACAGGTTCGTGGTTGAAAGCCCGTGAGGTCGCCCTCGAAGAAGTTTTTGCGCGTCACGACGCAGAGGGCATCGCTGGATTCGCTTGGGCAGCGGACTCTGGGAGCCTTGGCGGCCACTTCAGCGCATTTCAGCGCTTCTCGGAGGCAGAAGACGGAGAGACTGTTTCAGTGGGAGGTGCCGAAGAGACCCACAGCCTGTCGGCTCTGGTTGCTTGCGATGGCGGCAACAGCAGGCCAGGCTCTCACAGCGGGGGGGAATCTCGGGGAATTTCCCGTGTGGGAAGGGTCGCCGGACAGCTGGGCCTCCAGCGAGTTCGAGCTGATGGTCTCACAGCAGAGCCAGGCTAAAGTCCAAATGCCTTGAGGGGAGCTTCTACTGCCTTTGCGGTTTCTCATTTGTAAATGCCTTGGAGGCTGGGAGTTCGCAGTGGCCCCTTGTGCAGCAGATTGCGCGACTTTAGCTGCTTGCATTGCCTGCCAGCCGCGCATTTCTCAAAGGGACAGGCCCAGCAACGAATCCATGTGTTGTTTAACTGATTGTTGCTAGCCACACACAAGGTTGCCAACTTCGAGAATTTGATGGAGCCGGACGATCGCTTATTGGAAGAGTGCCCTTAGGCTGCATGGTTTGCAGCTGTAGCTTTTGTCAGCGAGGTGCCGACTGGAATCTTACATGAATGCGGGGAAAGTGTGGGCATGTGCTTCGTCAGCTTACCGGGGCATGACCGGCGGAAGAACCTTTCGCACAACTTTTTCTGCACATCCAAGGCCCACGCGGTTTCTCTGAAGAGGAGTTGTCGCTGGTGAAGCGGCTCATCTATCTCCAAGGCTCGGGCAGGAGTACAGCTGCAGCAGCTGTAGGCTCAAGGCAAGTCTTCCTGGCAACAGCATGCCCATACTGTCGGATTGCTGTCGCGAACGGTGCCAGTGCCAGAGAAAGGGTCGTCGGAAAAAGCTGAACATCAACCCGATTGGGTTGGAAGAGTGTCTGGGAGTGTTCTGACTGGAAGTGTGGCACACTGCTTGCATTGACGAGAGTCGATGGACCTATGACGGCTTGGGTAGAGCCTGTGCAAGATGCGTAATTGTAGGTACAGCTGGTGTCGCACCCGCATCAGGATGTCCGCAAGGGTCGAGACTCAGCAGTGGACACCGTTCGACGTTTTAGACCAGTTCCCCACCTTTGACCGGTTGCTTTCGACAGAAATCGATGCATTCATGGCGGCTATAGACTTCACGCTCTCTGCAGGCGAGACCCATTACTTCATCATGACGGTGGAACCCGAAGTGCTGGTGGAACATGGTGTGCTACGCAATGGCTCCCTCAAGGGGAAGGCGCGACTCCAGACCGTACAGTGCTGTGCTGTACACAGTGTCATTTTCAGAAGCTTCTTTTGCGCCGGTGGGCAGGATCTCCTGTCTGTCGAAAACGTTGATATGAAAAAGCTAGAGGACACGGGATGCAGAAATTGTCGACAAGTCGATGCACCTGACCGGCAGCGTAGATCCTACCTGGATTCGAAGAAGGACTTTGCCCGCATCGTGGTTGAAGAGTATTCGAAGAAGGCTCGCAAGCTATTGTAAACGTGGAACTCCCTCCCTCAAGTTGGCCAGGTTCTAGCAGCATCTCCGTGCAGAGTACACAGAGCGTGCTGCAGTGTAGGTTCGTTGGTAAAAAGCCTTCGGAGGTTCGTTCGCTTGGGGACATCTTCAGCGTTGAGATCCCAGAAGACTTCTGGACGACGAGGCTTCCCAACAGAAGGGGCCGTGTCTAGGAGCAGGGCTGAAGTACAGTGGACGCCTTTGCGACAAAGGGCGATTGCTTTGGACCCACGTGGCCGGCCGGCGCTCTCGGCCTTCGCGCAACCGAGCAGCAACTTTCCATCTACTTTGCAGCTGCTTGCCTTGCTTTTTGCAGCCCCATCCGAGGACACAGAACTGCGTAGCTTAGCCGTCCAGTCTCTGCACGGTGATCAGCTGGGGTCAAGGGTAAGCCCGTTCGTGCAGAATTCACCGGGGACTTTGTCCAGGCCCTTGCTTGAAGTGCCTTCGTGCTGCTTTGCTCTCACTTGAGGTTTCATAGCTTTGCCCTGTTCCAGTTGCAGGTCTTGTCTCAGGTACAGGGGTATGCTATGCCAGATGCAGTGGAAGACTAGGCAAAACTAGCTAGAGTGGGGTTGATCATTCAATCGGGCACTCACTGCAACCTGCACACAGCCCAGGGATCATGTCAAGAACTAGCTGCATGTAGGATCTTGGCCCGAGCAATCCGCTTGACAACAATGCAGTTGTATGCTTGGCCCTCCGTAGTGCCTCTGTCAGCTTGGCCGGGCGAGCTTCCTGCCATTTCGCACAGCACAACACCAGCTGATGCCTAGGTACCACGCAAACCTGACATGGCTTTCGCAGCCCATTTACTTGTTTGCAACTCGGACTTGATGAGAAGAAGAAGAAGAGCATGCTCAAGCGGCGAGGGCGCAGCACTTTGAATGAGCAAGCGCTTGCTCTATTGCGAAACCCTCCCAGGACGGCTTTGAGCGGGAGCTCCCAGTATTCTTTGCTGGCGATGCGCTGCGCGAGCCTTTCTGGCCTTATGGCGAAGGCAAGAGACTACTGAAGAAGTTTCAGGAGGAAGCCTGACAAGAACGTCTTGCCCAGAGCCTGTGCGCAAGCAGCTCTGGGCTCTCTCTAGTCATGAAGACTTCATGCTCTCAGCGTTGGAGGCTGCAGCCGCGGCTTCATGGGAGCCTTCGACACCATCTGGGCTGTGAGGCCTTGAGCACTTGATGTGCTGTGCATCGCAAAGCGAAAGCCGGAGCCCTCGCGGAGCCGGCACCGCATGCAGGTCTTGGGCAGCGGGTTTGCGAGGGGAGAAGCTTCGAAGCGGCCCAGCATTGAAACTTGCCCGAAACATGAACAACTCGTGAAAGAACTGCTTGAGGCCTGCGAAAGAAGCTCTTCGACTTGGCTTCGAAGGCTGTTTCTTCAACAGCTGTGGTGCCGGATTCAGTGGGCATGATGGCTGCCTTTGTCAGGTGGATCCCGTCACGAAGGGCAGGGACGTGCTCCTGCCCTACGAGCGGCCGGTTCCTTTCGCTGGCCTCAACTTCCTCCGCGCCTGGACTAAAGCTCAGAGCCACATCTCCACAGCTTTATCAGCTTTCCTTCAAAGCCGGAGGTGGATTTAAGCAGCTCTCCTGGCCTGCCTGGGGCTTTGACGGCCGCAAGCGGCCGACGAGTTTCGACTACACTGTGGATCCCACGACGAGGCACAAGCATGTGCAGGAGTTTCGCTGCACCTCTTCGAAGAGGGCTCTCTCTCTCTCCATGAGGTATCGTGTTTACGAGGACGAAGAGCCCGAGCCAGAGTCGAGTGAGTCGATCTATTCGAGTGAGGCGGCAAAGGTGAAGTGTACGCTCTGCAATTGGTGACAAGGGCAAAGTTATTTGCAGTCTTCGACACCATCTGGGCTTTAGGCTTGATGACTGATGGTTAATACTCAGATCCCTAGGCTGGGGCCCGGAAAACTGGTATCGGAAGTGCCAGAGTCTCTTCGAGGTTGACATGCTCATGAACAGCTAAGGACCTTGTAGACCCTGAAACATTGGCATATAGTCTGCTGCAGGTATAGGAAGTCAAGGCAGGATGTGACCTTAGAGGGTTCTGCATGTTACCTTCCAGGAAAGCCCGAGAAACGGACATGAATTTGGAGCGTTGAGTGCGCAGTAGCGTGCGCAGACGTTGGACTAGTCGGGAGCTGCGTCAGCTTGTTTTAGTTCAAGGGGCAGGATCAGGCTGCATCACTAAACAGAGTGGGTGGGTGAGGAGTCTGCAAAAACCCAGATGTGCGTTGCTTGCATCCTGAATCCTGCCCCTTGGCAATAATTACTCGTAGGCATAGGCTTAGCCGGGTCTCAGAACCTGCGAAAGGAGCCCCATCATTGCACCTCAGGCATTGGCACGAGAGAGATTTTAGGCCCTAACCGGTGCAAGAGCTGGTGCTCCTCTTCATAATTTTTCTTTGCAGTGCCAAGGTGTGCTGCAGGCTGCAGTCAGTGGCCCTCATGAGTCCAGTATTATGCGCTAGTTTCTGGAAGAACTCCTTCTGCCCTCTGCCTCAGATTGGAGCACGTTGCTCGCATAGCTTTGGGAAGTGTGCGGAGAGAAGTCACTCTTCCACCTGGCCTCTGTCGCTTCCTAAAGGCAATGAGCCCATCTGGCAGCCTTCAACAACGTTGTGTTTTGTTTCGGGCCGCTTCATTTGGCAGGACGGCGGGTTGTTGCATCCCCCAGCATGAGCATGATAGGTCTCCAGCAGATCCCCTCAAGAGTTGCTCGGAAGGGAGTCTGTTTGCCAAGAGCCAGTCATGACAATGTAGGGAACGCACCAGGATGTTCTCGTGAAAAGTGGTCTGAAGCTCTAGGAATTGACGGTCTTCGGTGCTGCCCTCTGCACGGGTACAGTGGCATATCACCCGAACAGTTGAGTCGATCTCGCTAGAAGCCTCTCGCAAGTCCTAGCTTTTGCATCTCGCGCCGATTCCTGAACGCCCAAGTCGGTGGCGGTCGGTCTCTGAGGACCCCACAATGGGGAAGCGGACGTTCCTCCGCCGGGGACCCCCCTCCGCCTCGGAAGCCGAGCATGGACAGGACACACGTTCCACTTCCACTCGAGGCGTCTGTGCCGGCATGAAAAGCTTGAAGGGCCGGTAAGATATCGCACATCACACAGGCACACGACACGAAGTGACGAACTCGCCCTCCCAAGATTTGATGTGATTGATTCCGCCAGACTTCGCCACGCAGCCGTCGAGAATCTGCGGTTCCTCCAGCAGAGGCCAGGCTCCGACCAGATCTCAGCGACAGAGCCTTCGCATCACCTTACGCAGAAGACCAAACTTCGAAACCAGCCAACTCCGCTCCTAATCTGTCTTGGACACCTAGCTTTCGACGTTCGGGAGTTAAGTTGTGCTGTTGTTAGGGCATAAAAGGCTGGCGTGACCTTTCGTTTGTGCAGTCGCCGAACTTGCGCTTGGAGACGGGTGCCTTGATCCTCTCAGAATTGCTGGGACAAGGACTCTGCTTGCTGCCACGAAGTGCTTTTTCAGAGCTCCACACTTACTCAAGGACTACTGCTGCCCGAGCGGCCCCTGTCTGTGGATGCAGATGAGGCGGGTGTTGGTTCTGCTCTGCCATCCTGCCTTGGCAGACGCAGCCTCTGCCAAGGCTTCAGAACCCTTCCGCCGCTCTCTGCATGAGCTCTCGGCGCGGCTCCCGCCCGGGGCGCGCATCGGCGCCTCGCCTGAGCATGCGAAACTTGCGGGGCTCTGCCGCTTTCAGTCAGTGGCGTCAAGGCTTCACAGCACGAGTCTCTGGTCTTGCTGGCGTGGCAGCCGCGGCGTACAGTGCAGCCTCAGCCTGAGTTTGAACGCATCGCATTGTTCAGGGCATGCCACACGGCATGCTCCCAGATGCGAGTGATTCCGATTGGCAAGTCTTGCAGGTCCGCGAGACCTTGGGTCCGGAGCGACTTTGTCGATGCTACAATGCTAAGTGAGTACCGCGGATCATCACTTCTCTCAAACTTCGAGAGTCCAGTGAGTCGGAGAACTGGCAGGAGCGATTCCTGTGGCATGGAACTGCTTGGGAATGTGTGCCCAACATCGTGTCTGCGGCTGAGCCGCTGCGTCTTGCCGCTGTCTGAGTCCATTCCTCCAAAGTTGCAGAGTCTTCGTAGACGCGGCAGTCTTTCGCAGAAGTATCGCCGTCTGTTGTCAGCAAGCTTCTGTTGGCTTGAACTTGGAAGCTTTGATGTGCATTGTCCCCTTGGAACAGCATGTTTGAACTGTGCAGGCGTCATGGGTTCAATCGGGCATATGCCTTCAACGCCAGGCAGCCGGGGAAAACACATCTTTGTGGTTTGGTGAAGCTTCGACGTGACAGGCATGGCTCCAAGCTGGGACGCGGCGTCTACTTCGCAGAAGATCCGGCCGGAGCTGCCATTCCAGACTCACGGTGAACAGTTTTAGTGTATGCAGATGCTGGAGCCAGCTGCCGACACAGGGTTAAAGCTCATGCTTGATCTGCACTCACAGCCGATCCCGCGAGCAGCGACTCGTGGCACAGTACATCAACAGGGACAACTAGACAAAGACAACACTGGGAAATAGCAATAGCAGTAGCAGTAGCAGTTGCAGTAGTGGTGGTTGTTGTTGTTGTTGTTGCTGTTGCTGTTGCTGTTGCTGTTGTTGTTGTTGTTGTTGCCAAACCCGGTGGCTCTGCCAACCCCC